AATAGACCCAATAGCATTAAGTAAAGATCCGTCCTTATTGCCAGCCGTAACTTATCCGGATATTTATAACTATCTCGTTCATACAGTATCCGTATACAAACTACAATTTACCTCAACAAGGCAACATAATGAACGACACTCGTCTCATTCGTGGAGGTGGAAAAACAAGTTCTTTGTGACATGCAAGATTTGTTGTATTAAAATGTAAATGCAAAAGAAAAGGCATGAGAGTCGGTTGTTTTTGTCAATTTTAAGTTTTAATTTAAAATCTTTGCGATTTTAATATAAGTACATGGTTACATATTTGATCACTTGCTTGAGCAACTTAATATATTGAAGTAATGCATGGAATAATTGGCTTACGTTGTTAAAATAGTGAGTATGTGTTAAAATAAAAATAGTGAGTACCGGGGTGTTTGTGGTACAGCCGCGGATCGCACTGCAATAGCGCGTCCTGCTTCTGTAAGTTACCGTATACGCACCGCACACGCATTGCACACGGATTATGTGTGAAACCTGTGGTAAAATGATGGGAACAGACTTTTCTATGGGGAGTTGGCTGAAAGTTTAGCCTATTTTTCCTAGCTAGCCTCTCCTGCGCTGGCTCCAAGGGCGTAGGTTTAGGGGGGGACGCTAGGTACTAGTCCCAATCAATATTTTGAGATGACAAATTTGTCCCCACCAATATTTAGCAAGCTCCTTTGAACTGCTATTTTGATATTTACGCTGCATTTGGATCTTTGCGCTGCTATTTGGATCGATTCCAACGGCCAGGACGACGACAGTACAAGATACGCCGTAATTTGATTGGCGGCGGGGTATCTGACAGGCTACACGCGCGGGCCGGGACTACTTTTTGTGCTTGCACTCACTGGCAGCGAGCGGGTGGTGTGTGCGTGTGTGTGCGCGCGCGTGACGACGCCGACGGTAAGTTACCAGGGGGGCTGTCTGTTTCTCTGCCTGCCATATACAAATGCCAGAGTAAAACATTTTAATATTCCGTTTTTTTGCCCCTTTTTGTACTTTGTAGATCAGCTGTGTCACCCAAGAAGAAGAAAGGGGACATACGAAGCTTTTTCATAAAGCAGAGTGTAAAATAACTAGCCACACAAATAACTAGCAGTAGTAGTGACTGACCAGGCTTTCAAATGCAGATTCTACTGTGGAAAATAGTATTAACTGGTGATCCTGGTTACCCAGGATATTGTTACAGTTTAACCTAGCTTCTGCAATCTTTCAAGGTTAGGAGCATTAATTAGGGGTGTGCAGCACAGAAACTAATGTACATAATTAATTTTTTAATTTATTTTAAATAAAATGTTTGGTTGTTCAGCATTAAACATTGATGACGCAGATGGAATAACATCTATATACAACTACACAACCGAATAAAAGTAAGTAATTATGTCTAAAAATAACTATGGAATTTACAAGCTATTTTATATAGAGCTATATAGGAATCTAGTGGGGGAAAAAACTGAATTTGGGGGTTAAAAATCAGATTTCATAGAGCTTTATAACGTGTGTGTACAGGCCTGTCTTTATATTTGTGATGATTTTTTCAAAAGTTTGTCCGTCACAAGCAACAGAACACGTGGAACATGCCGTTTGGGGACATTTGAAGAGCTGAGTGTGTGTGTGTGTGTCAGTGTGTGTGTGTGTCGTACCTCTTCAGTCAGTGAAGTTTCGAGCTGGTTAAGTTTTTCCTCTTTTTCTTTCAGTAGCGTTTGACCCTTGTAAAGCGTCTCCCTCAGCTCGGCTAGATCCCTCACCTCCTACACACACACACACACACATCATGGGCCTCTATACAGGTGATAGCGACTGCAGACACGGCTCTGTCTCTGAACACACACTCTCACCTGCTGCAGGTTGTGGTAGAGCTGCTGTGTGGAGGTCCCAGGCGAGGGGTCCTTCAGACTGCTGTGAGCTGCCCGCAGCGCTGCCTGTCGGTCCGACACCTGAACGCTCTGCCGCTCCAGAAACTGCCGAGCCCTGAGGAGAGACACGCTCTCATTCCACATATACTGCCTCACACTGAGAGAGAGAGAGAGAATAACACACACTTAAACCCCATTAAAGGACACAGAAGTGGATACAGGCAATTGAGACAGAGCGCAACGTGTCATTACTCTGAGAACTGACTTACGCCCACTGGAGGGGACAGGATAGCTTAGCTTACAGAAATATACTATATATAACTGACATTTGGATATTTGACTTAGTAGTGACAAAATGTTTACTGCACACGTAGTGTATGTTTAGTGCATACTGAGTGTCAGGACCCACACTTCACCCATTCGTTCCAGCCTGTATCCACTTGTGTGTCCTTTAAGCCTGGAACACACCAAGCCGACGCCGACGAACTAGCGCTGGTGAAAGCCGACTGTGTTGTCGCCTCGCGTCGGGGTAAAGCTGCACTTGAACAACACGAGAGAACTAGCCGACTGTCAGCTAGCATGCGCGTTCTCGTTTTGAATATCAATCCTGCTAAACACTT